CTGTCAAAAAAATCGCAATCTTCGGCGCCACCGGCAGGACTGGGCTTACCACCTTGGCTCAGGCGGTGCAAGGAGGTTATGAAGTGACAGTGCTGGTGCGAGACCCCTCCAGGCTGCCCTCCGAGGGACCCAAGCCGGACCACGTGGTCGTGGGCGACGTCCGGAAGGCGGAGGATGTGGACAAGACCGTGGCGGGGCAGGACGCCGTCATCGTGCTGCTGGGCACCGGCAACGACCTCAGTCCCACCACAGTGATGACCGAGGGCGCCCAGAACATTGTGGCGGCCATGAAGGCTCACGGCGTGGGCAAGGTCGTGGCCTGCACCTCGGCCTTCCTGCTGTGGGACCCCACAAAGGTGCCCCCGAGACTGCAGGATGTGACCAATGACCACATTCGGATGCACAAGATACTACAGGAGTCAGGCTTGAAGTATGTTGCTGTGATGCCACCCCACATAGGGGACCAGCCACTGACTGGGGCTTACACAGTCACTCTGGATGGAAGAGGGCCCTCTAGGGTCATCTCCAAACATGACCTGGGTCACTTCATGCTGCACTGTCTCACCACTGACCAGTACAATGGGCACAACACCTACCCTTCCCACCAGTATGACTAGGGTTGGCTCCATTCAGGAAATGAGAAACAAAGGAAAGACAGCCCCAGAGTCAGGGAACAATAAATATCGATCCACGAGCTTCATATTATTTTAAAAGACCTGGCTCTGTGACTCTTCCTCGCTCTTGCTGCAGCTGGGTAATTTGGAATGTCTCTCTGACTCTGTGTTGCATTATCTGGGTATCCATTCATTTACTCAGCAAGTATATTGAGTCTCTTTTTTGTGTCTGGAGCACTGGGTGATTCAAACAATAAAGTGGTCAGCTGATAACTGAAAGGTTAGGAATTCAAGTACACTCAGAGGTATCTCAGAAGAAGCCTGATGATCTATTTCTAAAAGAGCAACCCTTGGAAACCCTGTGAAGCACAGGTCTACTCTGATGCACGTGAGTAAAAAACATGAGGACATCACATGAGGATCACCAAATCTGACTTCTACTAATTCCACAAGGGGGAAGTGTCCCCGACAACAAGATCCACAACACAAAACCAATTCTTCTTAGGTAAAAAATGTCACCTATGTTCCCTTGTCCATTTTCTACAAATTCCAACTAATCCTACTATTCTACTGGTTCCAAAATATGGTGCAATCGCTACACAGACCTCATAAGACCATACTCATGATTATGGGGTGTATTAGGGAAGTTAACGGGTTACAACTCAAGTTGGCAACAAGATTACACTTTCCCAGTCAGGACAACTTCTAACACGTGCTCACAGGCCCTTCAACCTTCAGACTTTCTGCTTTGGGCCAGTGTTACAAAGCTGTCCTGTTATTGTTGTATGCCCTCGAGTCAGTTGTATGCCAACTGACCTGTAGCAGGTTTTCAAAGACAGTAAATTGCACAAGAGGAGATTGCCCATCCTTCTGCAGAGCAGCTGGTAGATCCAAACTATGTGCCTTTGGAGTTGTAGCATAGCTTCGTATCAGTAGGCCACCAGAGCTCTCTCATTTATTGTTGTTGTATACTGTAGAGTCAGAACGGACCCATACCAATGATTTTCAGAGGCAGTTAATCACACAGGAAGGGATTGCCCATCCTTCTGCCACAGAACAGCTGATGCCCTCAAGCTTCATGCCTTTGGGATGCAGTACAGCTTCATGCCACTAGGCACCAGAGCCTGCCAATCATGGTGAATCCCCCCTCCCTAATCCTTCAACAAGCTTGAGCAAAGGCTCTGGTTCCATGGGATAGCAGTCTCAAGGTCAGTTCTGTCTCACATAAAGTCTTTGGTTCTGTAAAAAAAAAGTCTTTCAAGTCTTTTAAGACTTGGTAAAGATATCTATTATTCATCATCTATCTTAGAGAAAACCTTGGTTTTCTGAGCCTATGTGATAATCTGGGGCACATCAATAGTAACATGGAAATGTCTAGAAAAGAAGCAATCATTTGAACAGAATGGGGAGTTACTGCATGGGCTAAAATCAGGAAAGTTGCATTTAAGGGCTGCAACCTTTATCCATATCTATTCAATCTGTATGCTAAGCAAATATTTAAAAAACTGGACTATATGAAGAAGAATATGGTGTCAGCTTGAGAGGAAAACTTATCAACAGCCTGTGTTACGCAGATGACACACCTTGCTTACAGAAAGTGAATACAATCTGAAGCATTTACTGACGATCAGACTACAGTGTTGATATGGATCACAAACTCAGGATCACGAAAATAAAAATTCTCACAACAGGACCAATAGGTGAAACGAAGAAAAGGTAGATCTAGTTTTATTTAAACTCACAATTAACACCCATGGAAGCAGCAGTCAAGAGATCAAAAGATGCATTGAAAAATCTGCTATCAAGGACCTCTTTAAAGCACTAGAGAACAAGAATGTCAACCCAAGCCATAGTATTTTCACCTGCCTTTTATTCACCTTGTTAGATATAAAAAAAGTGTGAGGGCACGAGAGAAATAAAGAAACTAGTCCCAAGAAAGGAATAGGCCTTTCTTGCGTGGTCTGAGAGGGACGCCAAGTGACCAGGCTGCACACCACACGGACAAGATCAAATAGCACGCCAGCAGTTTGGGGGTGGGTTTCCTTTTTAGGGGTCCTGGGGAGGACTAAGATGGTACTTCTTGGAACTTGGTGTGTTTATTTAGATTTTAGCTATTTTCAATCAAGCTCAGACTCTTTATCAAGATCCATTGCCTGGTCTGGTCTTTGATATGACCAGCTTAGGTGTTACCAAGTTTCTCAGGAAGTGATCAAGCTTGGGGGTGGTGGGGCAACTGCCATATTTTTCCTTCACACTTGAAAACTAGACAATGAATAAAGACTAAAGAATTGCTGCCTTTGAATTCTGATGCTGGCAAAGAATATTGACGATTCCATGGATTATCAAAATAAACATATCTGTCTTGGAGGAAACACAATAAAGATGATGAAACTGTCTCACATACTTCGGGCATGTTGTTAGCAGGGGCCGGTGCTCAGAAAAAGACATCATTCTGGGAAAAGCAGAGTGTCAGCAAAACGGAGGAAGACCCTCAATGACATGGACTGACAGCTTGAGCATGTGTGGATGGTATTAGGATAAGGCAAGGTTTCAATCAGTTGATCATTGGGTAATTATGAGTCTTCATTGACTCAAAAGCATCCAATACAAAAAGTGATAGCTTGGGCTTTGCTCAAAGATGATCAGAATTTACAAAAAGGTGTAAATTTTAGATCAGTGGTTAAGTTTTAAGCTTACATTTTAATTACATGAAATCTTTTTATTTGTTAAATACAGGTTCTAGAGTCCTAACCTAAGAGTTGGACTTAAGAAGCCTGGGGTGGAGCCTGAGAATTTGCATTTCAAACAAGTTCAGATGAGGCCAATAGCCCAGGCTTCACACTTTGAAAAAACAAGGGGTAGGAAAACACCACGTCTCAACAAAGAATAATAAAGATGTTTACACTTTCAATTACCATGCTGTATGGCCTCTGGTGATTTATTGCCTCTAAAAACCAGCTATGGGTCAGGTTTAACAGTAGACAACAAAAGTTTGGTGATTATTGTTCCTGTTCCTTATACAAATCTTCTAGTTACAAACTGGGGTCACAATCACATCTCACTCTGATGCATTTATTCTGCCATTTAAGAAAAAAAGAGAGAAAACACATAAATACGGGAAAATCTCTTACACAGCCACATCAGAAAAAGGGCTAGAGGGCTTACAAAAGGGATGAGTTTAACTGGGAAGAAGAATGCAAGAGCTCTTGCATATAAGCAGTAGAAATCTATGCAACCCAAGGGTGCAGTCTTGCAGAACCAGTTCCAGGACTCCGCCACAAGCCAAAAGGCTCTCCTGAATCCAACCAATCCCCAGCCCCAGGATGTTATTAGCTTGGGAGATTGTTGGTCTGCAGGCATCTTTTAACAATCCTGGGTCTAACTACCAAAATAGGGTCTTTCTGCTCTCTTTAGTGTCTTTTGGTGAGTCCTTCGCAGCCAGTGGCTAACCCCTTATGATTTCATGTCCTTCACCAGGAGGGCGATCTGCTCCTGCAGCTGCCGCTTCCCTTCCCATGCTTTGGTCTGGCTTCGACAACTCAGCAGCTCAGCCTTATGATCTTGGTGATGCATAGGGCAATAGTTTTGTGGTTCACATAGCTCCTGAAAAGTAAAGGACAGGGTAAAAAATTCTCCAGATATCCAAATTCTGCCTTCTAAGAATAGTAAAAATGTTACTGGCAATGGCTAAGAAGTAGTGCTGTTTCTTCTCAGATGTCTTGGCAGGCCCTGGCATGTTAAAAACTGGTTCTCCTCAAGTCTAGGCTCCCTCTTTCTCCCACCTGATCTCCACTTTACCGTATATTCTGGAAAGAAATCTCTGTAGCCTCCTTTGAGGATGTACAGTTCTGGGTAGTGTAATGCAGGATACTTGTTCAAAGCTCTGTCCTCTTCTCTTAGAGAGCGGCACCTTTAAAGAAAATGTAGAGATAGGCAGACCACAAAGAATCGAGGCTAGGGTTCCCTGGCTATTCCGTTCAGAAGGATAGGAAGAATAAACGATTGCTAACCCCCAAAGTACAGGAGAAGAATGGACAGTCTCCTCCTCTGTGATTTACTGTCTCTGAAAACCTGCTGGAGGGTCAGCTATAGGTTAGTTCCGACTCGACAGCACATAACAACCACCCCCAAAAGACTCCAGAAATCCTAATTTTTGCCAAAAAAAAAAATTCAAGTAACAACACTTTTCCTTCCTTCCTTTATTGAGGTCTCACTCTCAATCCATTTTCCTTTATCATCCCAAACGAACAAAATGTAAAAAAACCCTTTCCTTCCTCCTTGCCACCATTCTCCAGACTGCAATGAAGAGTATGACCCCTCTTATTCACACAGTCTTTGTCTGAAATGATCTGGAAGGGTTCCCTGCCCACAAGTACCCACTCCATTACCCATCCTACTCTGTGCAGACAACTCACATTCGGGGGCCCCTCTCTGAGGAGAATTCACAGTGGAACACAATGATTATTCTTTTCTGGGAATCCAAAGGGACGATGGGCTTCTTCAGAAAGAAGTTATACAGTTCTTCCTGACTATATACGTTTAAGGCTCCCTGTAGAAGAATAATTTTCTTTAAAAATTTTTATTGAGATTTGGGGAGAAGTTTACAATTGGTTTTTCACCCAATAATATCTCACACACACACACACACACACACACACACACACTCCCTCTCTCTCTCTCTGATTTTTAACACTGACTGCAATCCCCACAATGTAGTAACAACTCTTACCACTCACCTCCCTGTTTATAGTTGCCATTTGTTCTTTCCTATTCCTTTCTATCTTTTGAGCTTTACCCCTGGGTAAATACTGACCTTTGATCTCACAGGGCAGATTGTTCTAAGAAGTATGCACCTCCTGGTGTTACTGCCCACTCTATAGTTCGGTTTATTGCTTGTCTAAAGTTTACCCATGCAGATGAGTTCAGTTCCAAGTTGTGTAAATCAGTTATTCCTCAAGGATTTGTACACATTTCTAACAGCTAAAATGACTGGGTTGAGAGATCTGGGCCAGGGGGGCTAAACCATCTATTTCTAAGGTAGGGATTAATTTTGCCTTTTATATACCACCAGAGTCTTGCATAGATTTTCGCAAGTAGTTGCCAGGTGCCATTAAATACAACTCACAGTGACCCTATGAACAACAGATCCCTGTCCTATCCTGCGCCAACCTCACAAACCCTGACATACACAAGCCCACTGTGGCAGTCACTATGTCAATCCACATGGTTGAGGGTCCTTTGTCATCTCCCTCCCTTCCAAGCATGATATCTTTCTCCAAGGAATAACCTCTCCTAGCAACATGCCCAAAATATGTGAGACAAAGCTTCATCATTTCTTCCAGACCAAGGAGCATTCTCGCTATGGATATGTCTCCAAGCCGTATCCGTTTGTTCTTCTGGCTGTCCATGGACTATTTAGTATTCTTCTCCAACACCACTGTTTAAAGTATTAACTTTTCTTCTGTCATTCATGACAGTATACTACCATGGCAAGTAGCAGGTACTCAATAAATGCTCGGAGAGAGAACTGAACTGCCAGAAATGCAGGGATCACTGTGAGAAGTGCTCATGAACAGAGTTTAAAAAACACTTCTAGCACTTAGATTAACATACTTTGATTTCTAAGTAGAGCCCTTGGTATTATGTCCATAGGAAAGAGGAACACTGGGCTAGGAGGAAAAGGAACAGTATGTTCCTCAAGGTGTATACACTTAAAACAGGGATAAGGACTGACAGTCCTAACATGACTCCAATGCATATTCTCTGTTCTGGTTCTAGAGTTCACAGAACCCACTGTCCAGACTGAGTAAAGAGACACCTCCAACCACTCCTCCTCTAACATATACAACGTAAACTCACCTGGATATGTCCTCCCAGGTACTCGTACGGATAGCGGCAATCGATGATATAAAACTTCTCAATCAGACCTTGGAACTTCCCCCAAAGCAAGGCAGCCACCTGCACAGAAACTACAGCTGAAAACGCTGCTCACTGTCACTCTAGTCACACAGTCCCTTGTTTGAAAAATCCCTTCCGTCACTTCAGATTCCACTGTATACCCAGCTTCCAAAGTTTACAAATTTGAAACCAAATTCAGCCCCATCTCACATGAAAGGATGAAGTAGAAAGTAGCCTTTCTGAAAATCAAAACAGTAAATATTGCCAAGACGTCAAGGAAGACCATATTCAGTAGGTGTCACCAAGACATCAAGAAGACTTGTCTGGAAGAAGTCATGGCTAGAATAAGCCATATAGAAGAAATCCAAGAACATTTGCAGTAGTAGGGATTCAAGCTACAAATTAAATTTTGCAAGAAGAAGTGGGAAATGGTTCCCTACCATCCATTATAATGAAAGAAAGCAAGTCCCTCAAAAAAGGATATGGAGGGAAGAAGCTGATCCTCTGATGGAGAACTTAACACTACTAGTAAGAGCATAAACAGCTCAACCTTTCCGTTTATTTTTGCATTCTGAGTATAAGTGTACAAGGAAAATTAATTTTCCATTCAGCAATTTATCTATATTTCATAACATTAGGGGTAATTTCCTCAATATAATAGCACTCTTCTGACTTCCTCCTCAGGTTCCCTAAGTTCATCTGTTCTTCTTTGCTGACTGACAACTCCTATCTTCTGAATTGTGGTTTTGGGTAAATGTCCTTTCAGCCTTGCAAGTTTCCTTTTCTGAAGAGCATGTTTTTCATCCATATTACTGTTCACTTTATAGGGCAGTTTGTTGTTTGGCTACAAGGTGATCCCAGAGGTGGGTTAAGTTCTAGATTTAAGGGAGTCTAAGGCCTATACACATGATACAGTTACAGAACACAGGTTTATGTATATAAAACTGGTTTGACCTTTAAGGAAGGCATTATGGGTTGCATTGTGTCCCTCAAAAAATATATGGTGTAAATCTTAACCTCTATGCTTATGATAACAATGACATTTAGAAATGGATTTCCTTTGTTATGATAAAAAGACTGAATTAATGTTAGGATGTATATTAATCTCTTTTAAGATATGAAGGAGATTTAAAAAGCCACCAGAGCAGAGATGTGTTTTGTGTGTTTGTCTGAAGGTAAACTAGTAAAGATCGATTTTTTAAAAAGTTATATTCCCATAGATATGGACTTCCCTCCTTGAAATATGGAAGGGAAGGTGATGTGGCTTAATAGATGGAACACCACATGAAGATCTTCACAGAGCCAAAAAACAGATGTTGAAGAATCAAAGACCTTCTCCCACAGAGAAAGACTTCTCTTAGAGCCAGAATGTTGACTTTGGACTTCCAGCCTCCTTACAATGAGGAGTCCGGGAACGTTGGTGTGTAATGTGTTGGGCTGCTTACTGAAAGGGTAGAGGTTCAAACTCGCCAGGCACTCCGAGAGAGATAGACTGGCAGTGCCCTCTTACAAATATTCACAGCCATGGAAACACAATGGATGGTCATCACAGGTCAAAATAAATTTAGTGGGTTGAGTTCAAAAAGCAAGAAAATAAAATTTCTGTTTGTTAAAGCCATCTACTTGTGGCCCTGCTGATATAGCACCACTAAAACAGAAATCTTGAAGAATATAAAAAATGAAATGTAATTATAGTGACTTCAAATATCATAATAGAAAAAGTACACAGAAATGTGGGAACAATAATGTTCATTTCAGCAATACTTTAGGCAGTTAAAATATTACAAATAATTTAAATATTCAAGAATAGAGTTTAGTTAAGAAAACTTTATATTACATATATATTTTAGCCAGTAAAACATTATACATTTATTAAAGTTTCATATTTTTAGGGAGCTCTGGTTCACTGAGTCGCAAGTGACTCGATGGCACATAACAACCACAACAACAACTGGAAGCCTATTGGCAAGACGCTGCACTGCAATCCCAGAGGTACACAGTTCAAATCCACCAGATGCTCTGCTGAAGAAGAGGGGGCAATCTCCTCCTGTACCAGTCAGATCTGATTTGACAGTACACGTAAAAATAATACAATTTTTAAAAAATTCATATTTTTGTATGTAAACAATGAATTACATATAAATTATCTTTTTATTTAATTAACTACATATTATTTAATTACTAAATATTTTAAAATTATTTGTATTAAATTATTTTAATGATTAAACATGTATAAATGTATACATGAACTTTGTAAGCAAACCAATATAAAATAAAATCTTTTAAAAAACAACTAATAAATGTAGGGCTTCTTAGTTTTCTTTTTATATACTGATTTTTACCATGTCTTAGAATTACTAGGTGTCACAGTTAAGAAGTCAGCTATTAACAAAAGGCTGGCAACTGGAGTCCAACAAATGATGCCTTGAAAGGCCTGAAGTCAATGAAAATCCCATGGAGTGCAGTCCTACTACAACACACAGAGGACGGCCACAAATCACAATCAACTCCAGGGAAACTGGTTTGTTTCCTGGTTTTACATTGAGCTGGTTACAACATTACATGCTCATTATGATCTCATTTTTATAGAACATCTGATAGAATAAAATCCAGGTTTTATTATCACAGAGAAAATATTATTAGTGGTTATCTCTAGTGGCAATAATGGAGAGGGTGACCACATAATTACTGTAAAAAACAGGACACTTTTGAGTGAATGTTATTAATAATTATCTTGTGCTAACAGACATAAAAGAGACTGTGATATGTCAACTAGGGTATAAGATTGCACTAAATTGAGTAATTTTTAGCTTTTAAAAATTTGGTTTTATATCTTTTTTTAAAAAAAAATATGGAACTCTTCACGAATTTGTGTGTCATCCTGATGCAGGGGCCATCCTAATCTTCTCTGTATCATTCCAACTTTTCTAGTACACGTGCTGCCAAAGTGAGCACTATATATCTTTTTTTAACATGTTCTTTCCTTTCTCTTTTATTCCTTTACAACATTCTCTTTTATTCCTTTACAACAGTATGTCATTTTCTAATTAAAAACAAAGAAAGAAACTGTGTGTTCTCCTTTTGGAGCTAAGACAAGCAAAGGAAATGAAAGGTTATTAGTCCACAGACCTATAGGCCACATAAACTTCAGTCTCCATGACCCTGAGGCCAGAAGGGCGAGACAGGAAACAGCCACCATTGCCGACTGCTTGGAGAGGGCTCACAACAGAAGGTCACAGACAGAGGGGAGAAAAAGGTGGAACAAAACTCGAAATAATTTAAAAAGTCAGGCTCAGGTCTGATAGAAACTAACGACTAAAGGCTGTGGCCCTGAGTGAGCTTCAAGCCTGGAAGTGACTCAACTTTCAGCCAAACAACTGATAGGCATATAAGGTGGTCAGTAACCACTGGTGGAACTCGCTCCTTAGAACAACGACACAAGGTCAAAAGATAGCTTTTGCCCAGGGACAAAGCTCAGAATGCAGAAAAACTCATTGCCATTGAGTTGCAACATACTCATAGCAGACCCTCCAGCAGGTTTGAGACTGTAAGTAACTCATCTTTCTCGTCTGCAGACACTGGTGGGTTTAAATTGCCTGAGAGGAGCAGCCTTTGGGTTAGCGGCACAACTTGAGGCCACCACAGACCCTAAGAAGGCAGAAAGTGATAGAAGAAAAGGACTAATGGAAACAGGAAACACAGAGACATGGGAAGGGTGGTGTTACAATGTGAAGAGTGTAATCCCTGCCATGAAATATAGTATGATGAAAAACTAACTTGCTCTATAAACTGTCACTGATATCACAATAAAAAAAGGTAAAAAACAATAAAAGCAGGAGAGAAAGAATAATTGGGAAGAAAACATTCCTTTAGCATAGTTTAAGGTAAAAAAGGAGACTATATGAGTAAGTGCAGGGAAAGAAATACAAATGGAATCAGGGATTTAAGGGACAGACCAGACCAGATGGGAGCTTATATAACCAGTTACCATCTCCAAAAATCTGCTTACCGTTTCTGGGTTGACATACTTCAGATCTTGGTGCATCCCTGACACGGTCGGCAGTGCACATACCTAGAAATACAACCAGAGTTAGAATAACAGCAAGTTATCTATATCCAAGTTTGAGATTTAAAACTTCTAGGTTGTTTTTCTCTCAAAACCTCCGCAGATCTTTAAAAAAAGGTAGGGAGAATCAATAATATCTCTATAATGTGCATATGCAGCAATTCCATTTCTAAGAATTGATCCTAAGTAATTAAGGATGTGCAGAGCTTAGCTACAAATATAAACATCTCAGTACAACTCGTAAGGAAAAATTATACCACTAAAATCATCCTGTAAGAAGGGATTTCATTACAAAGTTATCAGCAGGGACTCTGCTGGCCTCATGCTGACAGTTTCCTTCATCTGGAATGATTATGTTTGTTTTGTCATTGTCCTACTTAAGGCTTAATAAACGGGCTGGGAATGAGGATCAGCAGCTGAAAAATGAAGTACTATGTAGCTATTAAGAATGATAAAATTATGAAAGAGAACTGCTCATTGTTGTGATGATACTCCTAATATTAAATGTGAAAGAAACAATTGATTATGAAACAGCACTTTTGTGAAAATTAAAAACATAGACTGTATTGTGTCTATTATATATGTGTGCATGATAAAAAAAAAGTGTATGGAAGAATATATACCATAATGTCAAAAATAGAATTACTCTGGTTAGTAAGATTTATGGTAAATTCATTTTCTATAATAATCAAGTATTATTTATATAAATTTTAAAGACACTATAACAACTGAAATCTTGACATTGTCAAGCATTTCATTTTACTTAGATCCACAAGCAACATCCATGGAAGCAGCAATATGAAATGCTGAGCTATTTTTATTATCAAGTCTATAAAATGTAATGAATATCACTGAATTGAACATGTACAAATGCTTGAATGGACATGTTTTGTTATAAATATTCTCAAGAACAACAATTAAAAAAAGAAAAAATCAAATCAAAGGATGGCTCACAATGGACAAATCTACTATAAAAGATCTCTTCCCTAGTGGCAAGAAGCTGCACTGCAATCCCCGAGGTAAGCAGTTCGAATCCACCAGATACTCTGCTGGAGAAGGAGGGACAATCTCCTCCTGTACCAGTCAGATCTGATTTGACAGTACATGCACAAAAAATAATAATAAAAATTAAAAAATAAATTTAAAAAAAATCTCTTCCAAGGGTTTAAAAGAAAAGGTGTACTTTAAAGACTAGGGTGTACCTGATTCAAACGTTGGTATTTTCCATTACCTCATTTGTATGCAAAGGTTGGACAATGGATAAAACTCAGTGCTGCCAAGCAAGAACCAACTCTTAAGTGATCCTCCTCTGGACTTCTGAAGTTGAAAAATGCACAAGGGAGACTGTCCATCTTTCTCCTGCAGAGCTGCTGGTAGATTTGTACCTCCAGAGAGACACAGCCTTTGGCTTACCAGTGCAACTCCCTGCAGCCTAGGGTTTCAGGGCTTCTTAGACAATGAATAGGAACATCAAAGAATTAATGCTTTTGAATTAAGATGTTAGGGAAGAATAGTGAATACATAGCCAGGAAATGGACTGCCAGGAGAAGGACAACGTCTGTGCAGAAAATTGCAGGGTCAGAATGTTCTGTACAAGTGAAGATGGCAAAATCTCATCTTACATACTTCAGTCATGTTATCAAGAGGGACCAGTCCCTGGAGAAGGACATCATGCTTGGTATGAGGCAGAGGTTCGATGGGAAAAAGGGAGACTTTCAATGAGTTGGACTGATTGGTACAGCAGCTGCAAAAATGGGTTCAAATACAGCAACAATTGTGAGGATGGGATAGAAGCAGGCAATATTTCATTTTAGAGTAAGAGCCAATTCAACAGTGCCTAACAACCACAACAATAAAAATGAGAAAAGCAAAAGCTTCATACTTGGACATTATCTCATAATGAATCAGAAATATATTCTCACTAGAAAGGCTTATCATCTAGATCAGTAAATCATTATAGAACTAAAGAGTAATTGATAAAGATACAGAATTATACCTCATATCCTCTATTATTATGTACCATCAAGTCAGAACTGACTTATAACTGACCCTCCAGCAGGTTCTCAGAGGCTTTAAACTGCACAGGAGAAGACTGCCCTTCTTTCTCCTGTGGAGAAGCTGGTGGATTTGAACCACATATCTTAGGGTTGGCAGTGCAAGTTTTTACCACTGGACAACTAGAGAGCCCTGTGATCAGGGAAGAGAAGATTTACATCCTAAATGGCTCCCCGGGATGCAGGACAAATGTAATCAAACTCACCTTGGAGAAATCACCAGTCAGAAGTCCCTCAGAGTCCTCTGGTATTTGAGTAGCACTAATGTCACAGAGAGATACTGTCTTCTTTAGACTTAAATCCTGAAGAATACAAAACCACAATCCAAATCAATATATTAAAATATTTAAAATCCAGAGGATGGTGGAGGGAGCTGGAGGTGAGGTGGAGGAATAAATATGCACAATTTTTAATTTAATCATTTTACTTGCTTCTCTAAGAAAACAAAGATATAGCATTACGATTTGGCTACAAGGATGTAATAGAAGGAAATTATTAAAAAACCAAATCAATAACAGGGTCTTGACTAAACTAATATTCTATACATTACAGGAGTAAAATAATCACAGACAAATGTTATTGGCAAAAAATTTTTAGTATCATTACATATGCTAGACAATGCACAGGACAATGTCTGGAAGAACATACCAAGTGTTAAAGTAATTATCTTTAACCTGTGGGATTGAAGAAATTTTAAATTTGCTTATTTTCTATTAATCACATGTTAGATTTATAAGAAAACACAGAAAAAGGTAATCACAAATGTTTAAGGGAGAGGTAGGGGATGAAAGCTATGTTTTTCAGGTGTTCCTTTCGGCTAACCAGTCTGCTGTAGGATGGTGTTTCAGCATGCACGCACTCTTGCACCTCATGTCCTTATACTTGGATTCACTCAGGTCTTAAAGAGACGCTTATATAGAGTCTCATCTTAAAAAGTCTTAGTTTTTTAAAAAAATTCCTATACAATGATGATAACATAGGTCAGCAGACTAAACAGGAGTGAAGGTCATTTACATCTTTCACTCCTACGTGACGCAAAAGAAGAAAGTCGTACTTTCCCAAACACGTTATAGCTAGAATAATGCTTCTTTTTTACCTTATCTGGTATTGGATTGTCCTTGAATTTTACCACCTGCTTCAGTCTTGGTCTGTTCAAATTCTCTGGCATCGAAGGGGAGCGATACAAGTAGCTTCTGTTCAGAGACACCTGTTGGAGAAAAATCAAACCTCTTAGTTCTTATTCTTCAAATAGTGTCAACAGACCAGCAGCATCAACATCTCCTAAGAGTTTGTTATAAATGTGGAATTCCAGATGGTAAGCCCCATTCTAGATCAACTTAATTAAAATCTTCATTTTCATAAACGCACAAATTATTCCTAGAGATAGTCAAGTTGGAGAAGCAATAGTGGGTATTCTGTCTTCCCCTCTTCACTGACCTCTTTTTTTTCATTGCCTCCCCCACCTGTTTCTCCTCCACTACATGTTAAATTTCCCCTTATGTTTTAACTCTAGTTTTAAGTAGAGTTAAACTCTACTTTTAACTTTACAGTTAAACTTAAGTTCTCTACCTATCTTATATGAGCCAGTTCTTCTAGGTGAAAGCAAACACAAGATTAGATCCTTCAGTCATGTGATGAAACATAAACCTCAACCCTCTCTTCCCATGGGAGCCTCTGGTACAGTGATCATTAGGACTTAAGGAATCCACCAAAACTGAAGGGTGCTCTGGCGGCATACTCTGTACTGAGGGTGCTTTCTAACCCTCCAGCAGTCTGAACACACTAGCAGCACCACGGGAGAAAGACAAGCTGTTTCCTTCTGTTGTGAACTGAGGGAAGGTTATTGGGAGTTGGAATTGACTTGGTGGCGGTGAATTTTGAGTTTTTGAACAAAAATGAAGAAAAGAAGCTGAAGTCAGTAAGCATGAACAAATACTAAGTAGCAAGAGTATATGTCACTTTTTGATAGAAATTTCTTTGAGTAAGGAAACGAAAACTATCATTCAGCCTTCTATAAAGGGGATTGCTTGTTAGTGTGGAATAAATATTATCATAAATATTATATATTTATTTACATTACTATTTATAGTAATTTATAGTGAAGTAAGCATATACAAGAGAAAGGGAAATACCAGAATAAAACAGTAGGATGACTACCATAGACTTAATACTATGAAGCTCATCAGGAAAAGAAAACCGATTAGAAGCCATAAAGAAGTGGCCTTGAGAAATCTTGGCACAGAAATAGACTGACTTAAGTACAAGAGAACACACTGTTCTGCATTTGAAAGGCATGACTTGGGTGTGATACCTAGATGTTACTGTTCCAGGCAACCACAACTCTTAGAAACCATATGAAGAGTGGATCTGAACCTTACCCTATCTTGTTCTATCTTCACAATCTCTGCCAGGCCCAAGCCCACGGGTACAGTCACTATGTCAATCCATTATGTTCAAGATCTTCATTTCTATTGCTGACCCTCTATCTTTTCCAGCATGATGTCTTTTTCCAAAGACTGTCCCCTTCTTGACAACATGACCATCTCTGCCTCTAAGGGGCACTCTGGTTTCACTTGCTCCAAGACAGATTAATTTGTTCTTTTTGGTATTCCATGGAATAGTCAATACTCTTCTCTAACACCACAACACAAAGCCATTTCTTCTTTGATCTTCTTTATACATTATCCAACTTTTAGATGCACAGGAAAAACGTGAAAATATCAAGGTTTGAATCAGGCACATCTGATACCCAGAGGCATGGGATAAATTAAATGATGTCTGATAACAACCTCCAACTAATCTATGATTCTTATCCTTTTTGCCCTAAGAGGCCATAGGGCCTCTACCTCTGCTCTAAATGTTTAGTTCCTTCTCTACACATTCACCTTACTATACTCATGAGTTGGTTTAGGAGAGGGCTAGACAATAAGAAAGTTATACTGGAACAAGGATTACTGAGAAATGGAAATAACAACACTTCACTTTATTTTATGCATAATACAATGGCTGCAACAATCTTTTTTTTTCTCTTCCTTCATTTTTTTTTCAGGGCATACACACTTTATTGAGTGGCAGGTGTCGGAGAGGTAGCTGGCTCCAGAGTAGAAGTGGAGTTGGCAGGTCATGCCAGGTGATGTGGCATCTGGCAGCCAGGCCCATGTCCTCCACCCTAGAGGGGTGGCACAAGCTAACTATGATAGGAGCAGCCAAGGAGTCAGCTGAGGGAGAAGGCAACCACACCAACCCAGATTCTGAACAATTTTAAATCTAAGGAAAACAGACATGCTTATAGTACCAGTTGAAGAAGAGTCACATTTCCCACAACAACATTCTAGAATTTTCCCTGGGATCTTTGCTAGTCATTCCTGTATTTTCTCACTCACTCTACCTCGAATCACCGATAAGTGGATCATATTGTAAGCTGAACATGGAATGTGCCAAGTATGAATACAGGAAAATTAGAAATTGTCAAACACATGAAGCCTGACATTCTAGGCATTAGTGAACCGAGATGGACTGACACGGGCCACTCTGAATCAGAAAGTCATATGGTCTACTATGTCGAAAATGAAAAACTAAGAAAGAATGGTGTTGCATTTATAGTGAAAAAGATAATTTCAATATATCTCCTAAAGTATAGTATTGCGAGAAATAGGAAAATATCCATATGGATACAAGGAAGATCCGTTAATATAACTATTATTTAAATATATGCACCAACAACTAAAGCCAAAGAGGAGAAATTGAAGATTTCTACCAACCTTGGCAGAGAACAAAATCAACCAAACATTCCATCAAGGTGTACTGATAATTACTGATGACTGGAATGCAGAAATTATAAAAAATGAAGAAATTGTAGCAAAAAAATAAAGTTGTGGTGACAAAAATGAGGATGGACATCAAATGATTGGATTTTTGTGCATCCCATGGCTTACTCATTGTGAATACCTTTTTTAAAAAAAAAACAACAAAAGACAATTTTACACATGGATCTCACCTGATGGACTGCACAGGCATCAAAAGACTACATCTGTCAAAAGAATCATTGGAGAAGCTCAATACTAGCAGTCAAAATCAGGCCAGTTGCTTATCAATTACTCAGGTGGATGCTCAAATTGAAGCCGAAGAAAATGAAAACAAGTCCTCAAGAACGAAAAGACAACTTTTAGTCTATCCCATGTGTATTTAATATCATATCCATAATAAGTGTGAGGCACTGAATACTAATAATAATCAAAGACCAGATGAGTTATGGGAGGACATCAAAGATATCATTCATGAAGACAGCAAATGGTTGTTTCAAAGATAAAGGAGGAAGAAAAGACTAAAATGGATGTCAGAAGAAACTCTGAAAATTGCACAAAAGCATAAGGAAGCCAAAACAAAGGGGGGAAATGCCCATATAAAAAAGATGAACAAAAGATTTCAAAGATTAGCCTGAGAAGACAAAGAAAATATTGTAACAGAATGTGCAAAAAGCTGGAGTTGGAAAATATAAAGGGAAGAACTCATTTGGCATTTCTAAAGTTAAGAAAACGAAAACAAACAGACAAACCTCAAACAGCTACAACAGTTCATTGACAGAATAGCCAAAAGCTAAAATGGGGTTTAGGAAAGGCCATGGCACCAGGGATATCATTGCTAATATCAGATGGATTATGGCTGAAAACAGGGACTACCAGAACAATGTCTATTTGTGTTTTAATGACTATTCAAAAGCATCTGACTGTGAGGATCATTAGAAATTATAACTAACATTGAGAAGAATGGGAATCCCAGGACGCTTAGTTGTGCTCATACAAAATCTTTGCCTAGACCAAACAGATGTTGTACGAACAGAGTAAGGGAATACTGCATGGTTTAAAATCAGGAATGGTGTATGTCAAGGCTGTATCTTTTCCCCCATATCGATTCAATCGGACTGTATGAAGATGAATGTGGCATCAGAATCAAAGGAAGACTCATCAACAACCTGTGTTAAGTAGATGACACAACCTTGCTTGCTGAAAGAAGGACTTGAAACACTTATTGTAGAGGATCAAAGACTACAGCTTTCAATATGGATTGAATCTCAACATCAAGATGACAAAAATCTTCACCACTGGACCAATAAGCAACACTATGACAGATAAAGAAAAGGCTGAAAATGTCAACTATTTCATCTTACTTGGATCCACAACCAGCACTCTTAACACGAGCAGTCAGGAGATTAGGAGATATATTGCACTAAGTCCATTGCCACATTAAGGATCAATGATGTCAGTTTGAAGACTAAAGTGCACCTGATTGAGGCCATGGTCTTTCCAATCACTTTTCTTTGATCTGAAAGCTGGACAATGAATAAGGATGGCAAAAGAATTGATGTCTTTGAGTTGTGTAGAGAATGTTGTTGTTGTTGTTATTGTTATGTGCCGTCAAGTCGCCTGTGACTCATAGCGACCCTATGTACAACAGCCCTAAACTCTGCCCTATCCTGTGCCAACCTCACCATCTCCGACATACCTACCCCCATTACCCCAGTCACTGAATCAATCCATCTCATCGAGGGTCTTCCTCTCCTGTACTGTCCCTCCATCCTCCCAAGAATGACATCCGTCTCCGAGGACTGGTCCCTCTTGCAACATGCCCAAAGTATGTCAGACAAAGCTTCAGAATCCTTGCCTCCAAGGAGCAGCCCAGCTTCACCCTCTCCAGGACAAACTTGTTTTCCTAGTAGTCCGTGGTATATTCAATACTCTTTTCCAATACCATAGCTCAAAGGCATCAATTCTCCTTCTACCATCCCTAGTCTTTGTCCAGCTCTTTGATGCATAGCAAGTGACTGCAAAGACCATGGCATGTATCAGGCGCAGCTTAGTCTCCAGACTGACATCTTTGCATTTCAGCACTTTAGAGAGGTCTCTAACCACAGACTTTCCCATCGCAATACATCTTTTAATTTCCTGGCTGCTGGTGCCAAGACTGTTGACTGTGGAGTCAAGTAAACCAAAACTGTGAACAATCTCAATCTCTTCACCATTCATTATGATGCTGCCAATTGACTCAGTGGTGAGAATCTTTGTTTTCTTGATATTGAGTGTCAATGCATACTGAAGACTGCAGTCCCTGACCTTCCACAGCAAGTGCTTCAGGTCCTCCTCAGTTTCAGCAAGCAGGGTTGTGTCAAATTGCATAACACAGATTGCTGATGATTCTTTCTCCAATCTT